TGTCTACTGGTAACACTGTAGTTTATTATAACTGAGGGAGAGATAAAGGAAACAAAAAAATGAACTAAATACAAAACAGAATAAGTGATGAATATTGGTATCTCAAAAAGTTTGTGTCACTAAAATGTGTAAATTTAAATTAAATTTTGCAAAAAATAATTTAGTAAATAAACTAGCATATCAGCTAAAAAGCAAAAATTAAAACAATTTTTGTCAATTTATAAAATTTCACACTCGATAGATAAGTACATGTATGCATGGAGAGAGATATACATGTACATATGGTAGAGAGTGGATACAATATTTACCCTGCAAATATTTTAGATAGTTTATCCAGTTTGATCACATTATTAGGTAGACATGTTAACTCATTTTACTCAGAGGCGTATTTAGGGGGGGGCTGAGGGGGCTTGAGCACCCCCCTCAGGGCTGGGCTCAGAAAAAATTACTGAAGTCCTGGACTCTTGCATCACTACCAAGCCTTTTAACAAAGTTATCTAGCCCCCTGATCATGATTTCAGCAGTTTCCAGTGCTTTAAGGAGCAATCAGAAGTACCAGTAACATAGCAGTATGCTTGAAATGATTTTGGCCCCACCCCGTAATTGATGAAAATGCAGGAAAAGGCCGTTTTACCGCTGTAAAAGTGGGTGTGGCAAAAAATCATGGCGCGCTTCGCGCGCCCTCTGCACCCCCCTTCTTCAGTTCCTAGATATGCCCCTGTTACTTGACCTATAATAACAATAACACACAACATGTAAACATAATTATGAGTCTTTATACAAAAATAAACAACAAACTAAACTATAAACAAATGTACAACATTCAAGGGAGTTGTCTCAAAGCATCCATTATACCATGCTATTACAATTTAATTGATACATACATGTACAGTAAACATGTATTATAATGATATTAAAAATCTTATTATTCATTCTCACCTCAAGCACTGACAATGAATTAAAGTTTTCAATATCTTCAGATATTTCTTTGATTTCGTTAGATGATAGATCCAGTCTAGTCAGTTCTACCTGGTCCCACCATCTCTCATCAACATCAAATGAAGCAGTACTACCATCAGGAGGATCAATATTGAGTCTCCACAGTTTAGGAGGAATAACACTAATGCCCCTGTAATTATACACATTCACCCACTAACTTTCATACATCCACTTGTTCATTAATGGGTCATAAAAATGAAAATTGAAAAATCATTAAAGACATTTTTAGTAAATAAAAAACATGTTACAAGTCTCAGTCACACCCGCTGTTTGACAGCCGGGTTCAGTGAACCGGTTTTACGAGCTTCTTTCAATAAGGATTCTGGTACAGTCTCCTCCTTACCTACCCCATCACTTTGACTAGGAGAATTGAAGAAGTTGGGATTTGGTTTGAGTCTAGTAGAACAAGCAAGAGATTTTCTACTGGCACCACGACTGGAACTCATGAATTTTGATAAATGGGTGTGGTCTTATGTTGCATAGCTATAGTTTGGGTGGGGCTGGTATTTTGCAAGAATGGCATCTAAAAGTGAGGGCTTCTCTTTGTATCTCTTTCATTCATTCTTTGTCTCTCTTTCTCTCTCACTTA